AGACCGCCACTACACCAGGAAGACGTGCCAACCTTCAACCATGCCAGAGTGTATAGCACACCCAACTGTCACCAGACCGCCACTACACCAGGAAGACGAACCATGTCAGAGTGTATAGCAGACCCAGCTGTCACCAGACCGCCACTACACCAGGAAGACGAACCATGTCAGAGTGTATAGCACACCCAACTGTCACCAGACCGCCACTACACCAGGAAGACGAACCATGTCAGAGTGTATAGCAGACCCAACTGTCACCAGACCGCCACATCACCAGTAAGACGTGCCAACTCTCAACCATGTCAGAGAGTATAGCAGACCCAACTGTCACCAGACCGCCACTACACCAGGAAGACCTGCCAACTCTCAGCCATGTCAGGGCCAACTGGTTGCCTTCATCACAGAATGGCACACTGCCATACAACAGAACGTGGTGGAGTATACACAAAGCCATTACTGGACGTATAGCCAACACTCCAACCATTGATGTCCCCGTGGAGCTCCAGTCTCCACAAATTTGATAATTTCCACCATCAAATTTCATAATATTTGTTGACCTTCATTCCCCTTCTGTTTGGCCAAGAGACTCTACATCGACCTCCTTTTCCTCTCTAATCCGTGGGGCGGTGGGGTAGCCCAGTGGTTAAAGCGTTGGCTCGTCACGCCGAAGACCCGGGTTCGAATCCCCACATGGATACAATGTGTGAAGCCCATTTCTGGTGTCCCCGCCGTGATGTTGCTGGAATATTGCTAAAAGCAGCGTAAAACCAAACTCAGTCAGTCAGTCTCTAATCCGTCCTCCCCTCTAACCACTCAAACTGTATTATGTATAATTGAACGTTGTCAAACAACATACAACAGTGTGTGTTTGTGTTGACAGCAGTTGACTGGACATTGTCGACCAGTTATTGCCATCATACCTTTAGTATTTAGTAAACAGGTGATCGGAGCGGGTTCATTGACGTTAACTACAGTTTGTCGATAGTAGCAGTGTTAGTCTTGTTGATGATGGTGTCGGTTATTCATATATGTTACTAAGTTAGGACCTCGTGCCACAGAGCGGACTTAGCGTTATGATTAAAACTTCACTATAAAGCGTGATTGTTTTTGGTGTATAAGTAATGATTGGAGTCTAGCATTCAAAAGTCTGTTGATAACATTAGTGAACGAGAACAGCGTTGTTACGGCAACGAGAATCAGTTATTTCGGGAAGGGCGCACCTTACGACCATGACTGTATTGGAATGCAGGTTTACATTCATGACAAGGCGTTGACAACTCCACCCAGTGTCCCCCTCCACTGCCTATAACGCCACAACCTACAGATTGATCCTGTGGATCGAGACACAAAGGACGCCATATAAATCGGGTGAGTCAAAGCAGACCTCTCCATAACAGTGATCAATTATATAGGCTACGTATTATGATCGCTCGCCCATGGGTTGTCAAAGCAGATAACAACAGCACCATACGCTAGGTGTAGTCAAACACTCGCCTACAATATCAACATCAAATGAAAGATAGCTGACAGGGGCCTGATGTGAAAGATCAATAAAAAGATGCAATAATAATTCATGAAATATGGCAGTGAAAGGAATAATATGATGACCGAATTTTGTGAGCAATTTGTACTGGGTTTTATGTCAGAGTAGAAGTCATTTAGGAGTGCAGATGTCAGTATCGCTTAGGGCGAATCATGTATACAGTGACAGAAGCACCGAACACCAACATGCCACCATGTAACATGTTGTCAGTATCGTCATGGGGGAACACCTCACATTGTGTAAGGCATACAGGTTGCGAGATGCATACACTTGCTTGTTGTGAGATGCATACAGGTCCTTGTTGTGAGATGCATAACAGTGATTGGTGTGAGATGCATAACAGTGATTGGTGTGAGATGCATAACAGTGATTGTCTGAGATGCATAGAGGTCCTTGTTGTGAGATGCATAGAGGTCCTTGTTGTGAGATAGATATAGGTCCTTGTTATGAGATGCATACAGGTCCTTGTTGTGAGATGCATACAGGTCCTTGTTGTGAGATGCATAGGGGTCCTTGTTGTGAGATACATACCAGTGATTGGTGTGAGATGCATACAGGTCCTTGTTGTGAGATACATACCAGTGATTGGTGTGAGATGCATACAGGTCCTTGTTTTCTAGGTCTGAGAGCCAAATCATATGCACAGGAAACACCACAGATGAATGAAATCATGTGAGTGGTACACAGAAACACATGTCATATTCAGTATGGCGGAGGTCTGAGTGTGTCATGACATTATACAATAACGCGTGTGAGGCAACAGGTTATAAATAAGGACCCCACGGTCTTTCTTTTGGGCTTCAGCAAGGGACGTGTATGACCATCGACCTTCCGCTCTATCCACTTAAACCCGGAGGTTTCCTAACAGGAGTGAGACACCTATCTTGTGAAATATGTGTCTTCGGTGTTCGGTACTTGTCTTGGGTGCGAATTATATGTCCTAGGTTGAGGTGCATGTGTGATATATCTCCCAAATGGGACACAAATGCCCTGGGTTTGAGTTATATAACATTCGTGTTCATTACGTGTGAGACAAGTATGTCCTAGATGTGGCGAATTCAAGGTTGGTCCTTGTTATATTCCCTTATCAGTACTATGAAGGAAGAGTATGTGGTTACGCGAGAGAGATTACCGTCTAAGACTCTCTTTTCTGTTTAACTGCACAACCTGTCAAATCGGCGTTAAACCAACCTCACTCACTCAATCACTCACTCACTCCTGGACATTGAGTAGGTATCACTGCAGATATCTGCATCTAGGTGTGAGACAGACGTACGGTAGATAAACAGAGAGATCTGGATGCTCGACATTAAACACATTAGACCCGTGCATCTTGGTATGTTTAGTGTGAGATACAAATTCTGGGTGTGAGATGTACGTTTTGTGTGAGACACACGTGCTAAGTGTGAGATGAACAATTCTGGGAGTGAAATGTACATGTTTAGTGTGACCTGCACATGTGTGTGAGTTGTTAATTATATGTGTGAAATGTACATGTTGTGTGTGGGATGCACATTCTGGATGTGAGATGTACATGTTGTGTGTGTTCTGTAATGGATGAAATATGTCACATATATCCAGTGTCCGAGGTAATATACCATTCCAAAGGAGGAGTTAATTAATCTCTGTAAGGGATAAATGTATGTAGGCATGTGAGGTAACCTTCCCAAAAGTTGAAATGATATATCGATATCTGTTCAAGGTATGAAATATAATCTGTCTGCCCTGTTTATTGGGTAATAATCATCTCCTGCTTATGTGAATGTATACCTGTCCTTGGCGTGAAGTGATATACCTCTACCAGGTATGAACTAATATAACTGTCTTATGTATAGAGTAACAAACCTCTACCAGGTATGAACCAATATACCTCTCCTGGGTATGAACTAACAGACCTCTACCAGGTATGAACTATTGTACCTGTCTTAGGTATGAAGTAACAGACCTTTACCAGGCATGAACCAATATACCTGTCTTATGTATAGAGTAACAAACCTCTACCAGGTATGAACTATTATACCTGTCCTGGGTATGAACTAAAAGAAATCTACCAGGTATGAACTAACAAACCTCTACCAGGTATGAACTAACATACCTCTCTTATGTATAGAGTAACAAACCTCTACCAGGTATGAACTAGTGTACCTGTCGTAGATATGAACTAACAAACCTCTACCAGGTATGAACTATTGTACCTGTCCTGGGTATGAACTAACAAACCTCTACCAGGTATGAACTATTGTACCTGTCGTAGGTATGAAGCAACAGACCTCTACCAGGTATGAACCAATATACCTGTCTTAGGTATAGAGTAATAAACCTCTACCAGGTACGAACTACTGTACCTGTCCTGGGTATGAACTAACAAACCTCTACCAGGTATGAACTATTGTACCTGTCGTAGGTATGAAGTAACAGACCTCTACCAGGTATAAACTAATATAGCTGGCCAATGCATACCTAACCTGCGAGGTAAAACTGACGACCCGCGAGTGTATTAAGTGATAAAGACTCCGAGAGGAAGTGGCAGTGAAAGCGGACATCTGACTCTGACGTGTGACATGAAAAGACATATTCGGGAAACAAGATGTCAAATATACGTCACGTGACGAATGTAACAGTAAATCTGTCAAAATGAAGCATTGCCTATCTTACACAGTGAACGTAAAAACCTGTAGTTTCTGAAAGGTATATATTATATTTATCAAAATTATATATTTCTTCCACAATCATAGTTCCCATATCCACGTATACTACCTTTACGGATGAACGTGAAGCTCGACATACTGCTCCCTAAGTGACTAAATGTACATAAGTTGTGATAGGAGGCAAATGCGTGATATTCCTACGACAACCCTCAATAGGTGGGTTCCATGTCACCACCCTTCAGTGCCCACCTGTAAAACCCCCGGGGCCCTGTGGACGGACCGAGTGTACAGGTTTGGGGTATGAAGGATGAAAAAGGCATAAAGCTCCCCGGGGCTGACGTAGAACAATGGTACAAAATTACATGGTTTCCCTGTATAAACCAGGCTGGGCTTGAATACCTCGCGATGGTTCATTGAGCATTGCCTTGGAATGTTTAAGCCAAGACTCACAGACGTCTGTGGCATGTTTTTGAATTGTTTTTTCTGAAATGACATCCTTTGAGTAAGTGTCATTCCGACCATAATATCTTTATAACGTCAATATCGAGGTCAGTCCAGGTTATTTTGAAAATATTATAAATCATAAACTTACCTGAACAAATGTCACCTAATCGATACAAAGTAACTCTTAAGTTCCCAACACATTTACCCTATGAGAGACGCTGAAGAGGGTAGGTTTAGTATATGTCTCCATAGTGTTCTAGATGGGGTATGTCTCTACCTGCATCTCGACCCTACCCCCTTCTACACCTGACCACAAAGTGATTAACCTGTTCAGTTTGCACCTATAATCAAATCAATTCACTTACCTGTGTCACAACACAAAAGTATAAATCACATGAAAGCCGACCAGTCAGTCCGTGGACCTTCCAGGTATATACAGATATATCCACACAAGGAAGCGAATTAGGTTCTATGTCACATGTTTTGTGGCACTGGGTACTCCTGTCTTCATGTCTAACCCGCAGCCTTTACACTGGTGCTTCTCAGCCGGCCCTCACGCTTCACTGAGAAAATATAATCCGTTCTAAATTTCCCCCAGCTCTAAAACCGGTTCAGGCGCTACTCGCGGTGTAAGTGTACACCTCAGTAAGGTGGCGAGCTACCTGGGTCGACCTGTCCTCGTCAAGCATCCTCTCTCCTTCCAGGCTCACTGATTTCGGACGTGGTCAACTACTGGACGTTGAACACAAGTGTGTTAACTGCGACAGAGGAGACCCACGTGGTGGTCTACTAGTCGATACTATCGGCGACTCAAATCGACTGCAGTGTGCAAGACTCCGCACGTACATGTATTTGTAAAGGCTTTGTAATTAGTCAGTTACATTACGTTTAGTGTGAAAGGTTCTATTTATAACTTTGTTAACGTTGTGTCACGACAAAAAGTGACTGATTTGGATGAATGTACGACACACATATAAACCAATATTGGGACTGTTCAAGGCATCAATGACGACATTTTCCTGGAGAGAAATACGTTAGACGACTCAAAGGAACACACAGTGTGTTGAACGACGATATGTTGTAGCTGACAAACATAGCTACAACAGAACCAAACACAATCTGCCAATTTTGTCTCATTGGCCTACGTACCCTGTCGATGAAAGATCGCAGTGTAATCAACGTTAGTTGTTAATTTCCACTAACCCCGCATATATGAACAGACAACTACAAGCGCTGACATCAGTTTGAAGCCCATAGAATGTAGTGCTTTAAGTGCTCCTAGTTTCAGTTTCAAATTGCCACACTATATACATTGCATCCATTTATATCATTTATCAACGTTGTATATCAATACATTCACAATGTTTGTTTTACCTACGTCACTTGAATACACATCTTTAATTGTTTATACAGGGAACCCTCGGTAGCACGGACCCCTTCAATATGGGAAACTCCCATAGCGGGCGTCGATCCACGCATATAAAGGACTCCTCTAACTTTTACAGCTAGTTAATCCGGGAAATACTTAATTTTATCTGGAAAAAGGGTGTCCGTATTAATAGGGTTTTAATGTATATGGGTGAAGCCACGACACAATCGCTGACCAGATATCCAGGCCTCCTCCCCACTCCACCTCATCCCCCAGTGTCCCCCCACCCCAGTGTACCCCTCTCGACCACCGTTATATCCCGGGTGATCTATAGCCTAAATCCTTATGTCAACACTACTATCTCACATACAATACGGTCCAGCTTTAATAACCATATCATGCCTGTAAATGTAATATCTCCTCCACAAAGCTGGCCGCTGATTGGCTATCTGTTGTCTTCGTGGCTGTATATCTCCGTCTCTCCTCTCAACTTGCCTAACTTTCTACTTGTTTTAAATCCACTATAAAATTTATGTGTGGTCAACTAGCCACACCAATGATGAAATGTTATGACTTCCAAAGCATTGTTAAATCCTTGCACAAAGATAGGTCAAAGGGTTATGGTATATATCAAACACCCACCAAACAGTTAAAGCATTCACGTATATAGTTAACATAAACCAATCTTCTTCAAGAATCCATAGATGGAGTGTTTGTTCGGTAAGGGTTGAAAGTTGTGTACGCGATATGTAGGAATCTTAATAACAGACACGTCCTCATTCAATTCATGTTCATATATCGATCTCATATAAATGACAGTAATTGGTATAAAGGCGATGTTCATTCTTCGCTTAAACGGCTGGGCCGGTGGTATTTATACGACATTGACTACAAATCAGCCATTAAAACAGATTTCCCCGTCAAAAAGTTCTGCATGTTACGAATTCATTTCCAATCAATCATATATATTTTATCTCATCGTTAACAGAACATGTTCAGTTCAAACGAACCATCTATACATACACAACGCATTATATAACCTGTTTCTAACGAAATAGTTCTGACGTAACCAGATAGCACCAGTTGCCGGCCTCTCGACCCTACTCTGTGTTCAAGTGACTACACTCCGGGATAACCTAATAACACAACACTGTAGATAATAGCCGTGCCCCCAGGGAAGCTGGCACCACCCAAGGGAAAATGTGTGATTGACGACATACGTGGACCCGTACTAAGTAGAGCATATCCATGTTCTCCCGTTTCACTGACTGAGCTCGATGAAGTTCACCAACACAGAGATGACGGCCGGGTATTGTATTGGAAACGTCGCTGGGCGTGTCAGTGATATAGGCATAGAGCAAGGCTCAGAGCTGCGATGTTAAGCAGTGCATTGCATTTAGTGACTGTTCAACATATATATTTAACCCACATTCGTAGGTGACTTTATGCCTCGCAAGGAGATTAAACATGTTTAGATAGGGAATCGACAACTGATGTATAGAATCATACCACGTGGTGTGGTCGAGATCTGATTCGTTCACAGTGGCCTGGTTCCCTACAGTGTGTTCTGGTGAAGTGTTAAAGTAAAGTTACAATCTGCATGACTGGTTTTAATGATGTGGGGGACGTGTATTAAACTGTTCCACCTTCTCGGTATGTATTAGAACGATTGCTACTTCATGCGAATACCCTCAGGCAGTGTGTGATGTAGAAGAACATAATGTTCATCCTCGGCTCACAAGGGTGAATTATATATCCTAGAGTTTTGTCTTCTTCGTCATTTGAAGTCGAAAGACGTGAAGTGAGTGAGTGAGTTGGGTTTTACGCCGCTTTTAGCAATATTCCAGCAATATCACGGCGGGGGACACCAGGAATGGCTTTACACATTGTACCCAAGTGGGGAATCGAACACGGGTCTTCGGCGAGACGAGCGAACGCTTTAACCACTTGGCTACCCCACCGCCCTAAGACATGAAGTGACTCACTTTAATTTGAAAATTAGTTGTCAAGGGTAAAACCCCATTGTTTTGAGTAACATGTAGAACGGATTCTGGCGTGTGTTTATAAAGGTTACAACTGTATAAGTGAGTTCAAATTATAACGTTACTTGTAGCAGGATTCCAGCTATATGAGGACTTCACCCATCGCACCCATGTATGGAATCGAACCCCTGTATTCACTGTGATTAGCGAACGCTTTAACCGCTTGCTTCCACGTCCCAATACAGAACGTGTTACACTTTTCATCATATTGTGATGTTCGATCTAAAACAAGTTCCATCGGGTTTTTTAAATAGTTCCATTTGTTTAAGAATATACACCATAAGGATTAGCTTAGAATGTATAGAATAAATGATAATTGATTTGTATAGCGCGTGGTTTCCAGATTGGACATGACTGCTCAACGGCGCTTGTTGAAGTGAGCGGAAAAAAGATATGTCTTCAGATGAGTTACAAAAGAGTCTTTTGTTTGACAGTTTCTGATTTCCAGTGGTAGGGCATTCCACAGTTTTGGGGCTGCAAATAAAAGACCCACTTCGCCCATCTTTGTTTTAGTTTTAGGAACATGAAGTAGTTCATCATCGGCTGATCTTAAAGCTCTTGTGGGTTGGTAGTGATGTAACATGTCCTTAATATAGGTTGGGGAGTTTTCGTCATTTAGTGCTGAATATGTGATAGAAATAGTCTTGAAAGTGATGCGGTGCTCTACGGGTAGCCAGTGGAGTGATTTCAGGACAGGGGTGATATGGTCAGTTCTCTTGGTACCAGTCAGCATCCTCGCAGCACTGTTCTGCACTTGTTGCAGTAGTTTGATGTTAGTGGCATTGAGGAGGGCATTTCCATATTCAAAACGTGATGTGACACAGGCTTGGATAACGTTAGTCCGCAGATATGTTTGGTCATATAATTACTGTTCAGTGTTTAGTGGCGAAAACAGAAAGAATCCAACCCTACAGTTTTAACGGAGGTTAATGAAAAGAGCATTATGGTTGATCAGATTAATCTGCCAAGTGAGATAACAGACTATGTTATGGTGTGCACATCAAACGCATGTAAATATTTATAGTGTCACGTTATTATTTGTGCGTACAATGTATACGATATTCTGTATAATTCTTTACTCACGCTGATCTCCAATCGGGCATCCCCCCAAACACGGGCTTCCAATCTTTCTCGGTTCTCATATTTGCAAAAAGAAAAACATCAGATTGTTTTGAAACCGTAACTTTCGGATACATGTGCACCGATGAAACCCATGCATTTTGGTACCACGAATACCCTGGCTAGAGGTGTCAAGCGAACATCAGTTGGTGAGTGAATGTGGTTTTTTTGACGCTCTGAGCAATCCTTCATCTGTTGGATTAGATAAGCCAATATATTGTTAAGTACTGGTGAGTATTTCTTCAATCTCTACCAGCGGTTGATAGGTTGAGCAAAGTACCTACCTGATCTAAGCTCTTACGACCAGCACGGTATATTGGGGGCAAAGTCTGTAATCCCTTGGTCTCCACGTCGTTAGCTCATGCAAGCAGTGATTGTTGGTTGTGTCGGTCAAATCGTCAATCCTCCTAGTTAACCGTCTGGGAGGAGAAGACATACACACATGGAATCCTGTCTTGAGTTAAACTGCATCCAAGTCCGACACAAGCATATTCTTGGTTGAATGTAGGAGTTTGTGACATGCGCCGTGACGGTATAATATTTTATGAGCGCTTCTGGACAGAGAGTTGATTCTCGTCACGTTCCGCACCGATCCACAATGCACCGCCTTAAAGGCACACTATCACGCCACACCTCTCTAAAAATCAATATTGCATTTCTCTCATTAATATTAACTATCATCCCCCAGCGAAGCTACCATATAATTTATTCCGGAAAAAATTATGTATTGAAATTACAGTATGAAATTAAAAAGTTCGAATGAATTAATGTAACGTTGCAATAAATCGACTTTCGCGCCCTCTACCGATCGAACTTTATTTCAAGCGAACCCCATAGAGTTATGTCCCTAGTAACGCTCTTTACGAATATACTATAACGCAACTTGTGATTGAGGCCAGTTCGGCAAACACCGACAACACCGTGCGACAGTTTTCGATGTACGGAGCAAACGTTTACATTCCATGTATAGTAAGTGTTATCTGTTTGAAAGCTGTCCGCCTCGAGGTTTCAATTATCGATTTCAGGCAAGTCGTAAGGGATAATAAGTCTTTTATCGTATCAATGGGAAGCTAAAGTGAGTGCATATGCCCCAATATATACACCCTGGTTATAATGCCACCATTTGTCCAGGGGGAAATATGGCATTATATCCAGGGTGGCATTATAACCAGGTAGGCCAGTTAGAGGACCTGTGCAATCAACAAGGTGATGCCTCCTGTAATGAGCCTATCTGGCATTACAAGACTACTAAAGCATGAGTTTGGTCAATACTACATGCAGCCAGTGTAATTGGCATTATAACCAGTGGAGAAT